CAGCTGAGACTCCAGTATTTCCTCAGGAGAGAATTTCTAAATTAACTTCACTAACACTGTGCAAATTACAATATTAAAAGCTTCATGCGAAACAAGCAAGCAAATTACATTTTCCTTTTGGCACTGCACCCCTTGCAAAGGCTGAAAAGAATACTTCAAAAAGCAAATGATTATTTCTATTTAGTTAAATGTTTTGATAAAGACTAATTATTGGAAGCACCTATCACAAATTAAAAATCAAGATTGGTTATAAAAATGCATACTTCTATAATTGTAAACTGTTTTAAGAAAGCATGCATTAATATCTTCCAATAAGCTTTGGCCAAGGAGGTCCAGAACACTGTGCCCACAACACCTCTCCCACATCCAGCTAATTTGCTGTACAACCAGATCACTATGAAGTGAAACCGTGAAAGACACAGTAAGCAGACCTAACACACATACTGGGATCTGAAAGGAAAAAGCTTACAGGCCCATGAAGAAAAATGTAAATGAAATCTAAAATCAACTAAGTCATATCTACAGATCCTAACCCAGGCAGACTGGAAATGCTTGCACCACTTGTACTCTACTCTCATACGACCTCACTTCCAGTCCCTGTTGACACAAAACTGCCAAAATTACAGTTAATTCAGGTAAATAACCCCCCAAAATACTAACTCTTAAGAAACTGATGTGTAGTCAATACAAAACACAAAGGAATTGATATGTACAATACTGGGAAGATAGCTACTAAAAGATGAAGATTAGCAGTATCTGGAAAATATGGAGGTTTGTCCCACTAACCGTACACTTACAAACATCTGACTAATGTTTCACCAAGTCTGCTTACTGCTAAGCAATGACTAAGCCTCAACTTCTCCAGTAGACACTTAAAAAATATAGAAAATTTTTCTACAGGGAAATTGCTGCGGAGCAATCTGGGTAAAAGAAAAACATATGTTCAAGAAAGAAGGCAGATATTCTCACTACGTCCCATATGTGGTGTTTTGGAAAGCAGAAAGGATGTTAGCTCCATCACACAGAGCATTTTACCTGTGCAGGCAGCAGATTTTTCAGACTCTACTCAGAATCTACAGAAAATCTACATCTTTTCTCCCTGGATTCCAGTTGCCCATCATGCTGTACTTTATTCTGGTTTTACAATGGCATTAGATGTTAGCATTGACTTGAGAAGAGAGTAATTTTTAGGTCCTACTACATTTTTTTGGAACTCAGTATGTTCTCTTTCAATTTCTCAGTGGTGACGACCTTGCCTGTACACCTTAAAAGAGGATGAGGTCTAAAAAAACTTCAGAAAAATCAGGCTGCTTCTGCATCCCTAACTTTGGAACTTTTCTTCCGCTGCTAATCAAGGAAATTCAGCAAAAGTAAGCATTACCCTGAGTCAATACTAGCAGTCAGATCACTGATCTGACCAAGAACGGTGGTGCTATAACGCTTTTTGGAAGGCTTCTCCAATTTAGAAGGCTTTTTCAAAACAAAACTTTAGTCAGTTTAAAATAAATACAAGCATTAACTTTTTACTGTTACATGGTTTCAAGTAGGACTCCAAAATGTTTGTTTCTTACTTTGTCAATCCTTCAAATAACTGTTTACATACATTCACACCTTTGTAATACTACATTGCTGGCCAACAGTTGATTTAAAAGCTCAGTCTTCAAACTGCACATTTTCAAGGTTATATGGTTCACAATGGTAACTGGAGAATTACAGAATCACTAGGTTGGAAAGGACCTTCAAGATCATCAAGTCCAACCATTAATCCAGCGCCACCATGTCCCCTAAACCATGTCCTGAAGCGCCACATCCACATGTTTCTTGAACACTTCCAGAGATGGCGACTCCACCGCCTCCCTGGGCAGCCTGTTCCAATGCTTAACCACCCTCTCAGTGAAGAAATTTTTCCTAATACCCAATCTAAACCTCCCCTGGTACAACTTGAGGCCGTTTCCTCTCGTCCTATCACTAGTTACTTGGGAGAAGAGACCAACACCCACCTCACCACAACTCCCTTTCAGGTAGTTGTAGACAGCGATAAGGTCTCCCCTCAGCCTCCTATTCTCCAGACTAAACTACCCCAGCTCCCTCAGCCGCTCCTCATAAGACTTGTGCTCCAGACCCCTCACCAGCTCCGTTGCCCTTCTCTGGACACGCTCCAGCACCTCAGCATCCTTCTTGTAGTGAGGGGCCCAAGACTGAACACAGTATTCAAGCTGCGGCCTCACCAGTGCCGAGTACAGGGGCACGATCACTTCCCTACTCCTGCTGGCCACACTATTCCTGATACAGGCAAGTGTAAGAGATGACAGGGACTGCCCTCGGACAACGGGAGAGAGTGAATTATGAACTGATGAGGCCCAGATTTATCTATAATCAATACTTCGGAAGGCAAACTACACCACTTGGTTTTTCAGCCTGGTCAGCAAGGATTCATTGGGCATTTCATTTTTGTTTGAACTGCTCATAAACTTCCACTCTTGCTACAACATTGAAAATCAGCAATTGTCAGACATTTGTCTGACTCAGCATGTCAAACACTGATGGAAGAACAAAACCAGGACCTGATTTTTTTTCTAATAAAGATGTAAAAGCTATCAATAGCAAACATAACAGAATTACTTGTTTCAAAAGAATAAAAATGCAGGCTTTTCAAGATCAAGCACCTGATTACAGCAGAGACTGCACATATTCTTCAATAAAATGTGTTGTTCACCTCAGACATAAAACACTGTAAGTAATGGCACCCCAAGAAAAACAAACTAGCAGCTAAGAATAAGTAAAAAAATACAAAGAGCAGGCACCACCGCTTCTCTCCCTGAATGCAAGCTTGTTTAGTAACATCACCGACTGACATATGAATATGTATTACTAGCTCCATAGATGCACAATGATAAGCTACGGCAACCGCTGCACTTGAGCGCACAAAATCCAAAACGCCACCCTGAAAGGCTGTCCTGGAATTTTCACTGCAAAGAGGAAGCACAGGCTATGATTTCTCAGCTATTTCCCTGCAACAATCCTTCACAGTATTTCACTAACTGATGTGTTCTTGTTCCAATAAGCTTCTTGCCCTTTTAAATCTCTGATCACCCTTTTCCCTACTGACAGAATGCACTGGTGTGCCCTCCTAATATATAGTGTGCTGGTTGTTGGCCAGCCGGAGGAAGGAGACAAAGGAAGAACAAGGAGGGGAACATCCTCCTGACGAGGAGCTAGATGCTCACGTCTTTTTGAAGCTAAGGTTTACAAACAAAAATTTATCTTACATCAAACTGGAACTTTCTCTGCACATGACATGGCTTTTTGTTTCATTGGGTATCTGTTATGAGTAAAGGTTTCTTTTGGGAGATACAACACTCTACAGGAAAACATCTGTAAATAACTAAGACAACAAACTGTTGTCAGCTCCGACCGCAGGGAGGGAAATCCCAGCTGCCCATTGCTAGAACTCAAAATCCCTACTTTAAACTGTGCGCACACATAAAAAGGGTAGGCTTTTGATAATTGCACTTAGTAAACACAGGCCTGGCCGGCTCATGGTAGATAAACACAAGGCAATGACAAAACATTATGAGCTGTGCTATTTTAGAAACTGTGATTGTCAAAATATATCAAGTTAACTTTGATCTCTCTCCATAAACTTCACAGTACCAAATCCTTAAATAGCTGTCATTAGTTAAGCTCCAAATTCAGTCAACAACAGGAAGACTTAGAAAGCATACAGGCAACTGCATTAAACAAATTCTGTGTTCATTATCTTTTACTTTCAATAGCAGATCTGCCTCTGAAGTTTAGAGAATACAGAAGCATTTACCAAACATGGCTTAAAGGGTTTATTATTTTTACATAAATTTGGTGAAGAATGTCATATTTATTAATACTGCAATCAAATTCAATATAAAGATGAGCACTATTAAACAGTACAAAACATGTACAAGTTTTAAAGTGAGAAAGCACACTGTTACCAAAATAGTTTCCTCTATAAAGGGAAGTTTTTCTGATTTCTTTTTCCACTGGTATTACTGGGGACATTACATAGAAATTCTAGATGGCATTGTAAAAGAAACTAGTTATTCCCACTGCTATTGCCACTACCATTCTGCAGGAATCTGAATGCTTAAAGTAAGCCTAAACCTCTCAAGCACACATGCAAGCAGTTGCATGCAGGGAACATGCAAACCCAACACCTACCTCCACTTTCCATCTTCGGAAAGAAATACAAGCAGGTAAAACAAAAATCTCTCCCTCAACTTTCAAATTAAAACAGAGAAACAAGTATATATCACCTGCCAAAAAGCCTACCTGTAATCTAATAATCATAATTATCTCTACAAGGCTACAAAGTAAAATTCAGCAACACTGAATCACTCAGAAGCGTGAAAAATAATTTCCTACCACAACTGAACTCACTACATCTGAAGCAGAAACAATTATATTTCCTTGGGATCTGTATTTTTGTACTTCACAAGGTTTGTCCTTACATACTAAAGCATTCTTTATTCCCACAGGGACTGACCCCATAGGCAAAGGCACCTGTAAGGTACGAGCACCTGTAAAGCACAAACATTTTCCCGCTTTGCAATCATGTGCCTTTTATTGATCTGCTGGTCAGGTCTCATCACAAATAAAGTTATGCAACTTCGATCTTCTGCAATCCTTCTGGTCACCAAGAATTTCTGCTTTCAAAGTAAGGCATGATTTTTTCAAGGATTATTTCCCATTGACAATTCTTTGAAATGGAACAGAAGAAAGCAGGCAAGAGGAAACCAGAAAGTGTCCTACTCTAACAAAACCAATCCAGAATTACAGTATAATATTCACTCTTTGGAGGTACTACTTTGTAAAGTATCCTGTCAGACATTTGAATCAACAACTATACTCCAGCTGCAACTGTCAGCATCAGATGCTTTGTAAGAACACATAAAACCTCACAGATTTGAGCAACAAGTGCTGAAGGGTATTGAGAAAAATACTTATATAGCCATTTAGTTACTTACGTTGTTGTTGCGTGTTTCTACTGCTGGAAACTTCCTGACTATGAATTTGACAGCAGATTCCAGGTTTTTGTCAATAAGATAGGATGGTTTGGCTTTGGGGTCACCACATGCCTATAAAAAAATACAATAAAAAAATGAAGTAAAAACACAATCATCCCTCTGAAACTAAGTGATAGTTGCAAATCTGAAAACAAACTAGAAAGATTCTTTTTTTGTTTTAGTGAGCAGGTGATAAAATGAAAGGCAAAGTGCAGGGACTGTCACAGCTGAAATATGCAATGGGAAACAGTACAGAGATGCTCTTCTACTGAAAAAGATGCATGGAAGTATCAAAGCAGTTAGTGCAGAACAGCAGTGAGGGAAAAAAATCAATCCTAAAAGGAGGGAAAAAAAAAAGGTTTCCTTTTAATGCTATTCCTGGTTTGAGGTAGTGTTGTATTCATCTGGAGTTAATAAACTGTTAGAAAATTCAAACATGTCATCATCTGTGGAGGACAGTGCTGGGCACATTAAATGATTAAACTATCCTTTGTGAAACAAAACTAAAAGCCCCACCACCAATCTGCGTTTAATTTTTCTTTAATTTGTTAATTGCAAGACAATTTTCCATCCCACAATAAAACCACCAGTATGCCTAAAATATCCTATTTCCTTAGATTAAGAACTCAAGTTTTGTTCATTTTCTTTACTCCTAGAGTAGCATCGGCTGTGCTTTAAAAGCAGCAATCAAGTAATTTCATTAAATTTTGATTTGAACAGAAGTCACAGCTAAGTACTAAGTCTCTTAAATAACTTACATAGACATATCAGAAGAACAGTTTTTGTGGACAAATGACTGACAGAAGTCCCTACTTTTGCCAGTTACAGCGCATGCTGTCTTCAACTACTCTGACTAGCAAGCCATGCTATATCATTTGGTTTTGAGAAAGGTACTGAAAGCAGCATTATCGACATGACAAAATTCGTGCTCAAATTGTATTCTCTCTCAAATATTCATTTAGTTTTATAGTCCTCATAGGGATTTGCAAAGGAGTTTTGTGTCTCATGCAAAACTAAATTACATGCTAGGCATTTCTACACAACATAGTGAACTTGAATGACAGCTCATTCAAAAACTTTTCCACATTGATTTCTATGACCAAGTTGTGGACTGTAGAGACAGAAGTCATGAAGTATGAGACCGATTCTGAAAGCGGGCAAGCGGGCAAAGGGAAGGTGAAAAGCTTTGCAAACCTTCCAAACTTGTCCTTGCTGGGAAAGCAGTGTAATAAAAAGAGAGAAAAATTACATATAAACAAATTGATCTTAAATTCTAAAATATGTTACATTTATGTGAACTAATACACTATTACCTACATCCAAGAGAACATTATGATGATCTGTTACTCTAAGCAGCATACTTTCTACTGGACCGTGATTATTCTAATACTCACAACTTAAATGTACTTATTAGAATTTTACTATTGTGCAAAGTGCTGCGTATATGCCGAGATATGTAACTTCTAATAGTATTTCCAAACTAATACTAGGTAGGGAGAGAAATACAAACATGACATGCAACTACAGGGGGGAAAAAGGAGAGAAACTCAGTGAAGTTTTACATACCTGAAAAAGAAACGGTAGCCAAGAAAAAAAAACAAAAACAAAAAACACAAGAGTCATTATTGTAAGTTTCTAAAACTCCTACCAGCAGTACATGACCACCACCATGTATGCTAACTTACTACTCTAATACCAGAACTCTCACATTTGCTAATTTTTCCGCAAAACACTGATTTGTTTAAAAATATCATATCTACAATACAAGAGGAATTCATAATGAAAGTAAATTCAGCAACATCCACAGTATCAGTTAGATATTAAATAGTTGCTCTGATATTCTTATGACAGCAAGCAACACATGCCACAGAAGGTCTGTTCTGTAGACACTTTAAGGTCTTTACACAATTTCAAAAGTAAAAATTATACTGTAAATAGGAATAAAAAAAATAAACAATGTGTATCTCAAATTTATGAAGTCTTAATTAACTAGATGTCATGGGTTTATCAGAATCTGTGTCAGATTATTTCAATTTGCTGTCCTTGCCACACATTATATAACTTTCTCTACTAAAAGAAGGATTACAAACTAAGAAAACAGCTTAATAGACAACATATATTTGTGGCCTGTTTAAATTCCAATATGGTTGCTGTTACATAGGAGACAAGAAATCTGCCACTGTTTACTTCCTAATTTTTTCAGTCTGAATTCAAACGCTACTTCCACATACACTCCGTATTTTTCCTAGCAACAGACGTTTTTCCTCCTATAAATCACCTCTCTGAAATATTTACTAAAAATTATGTTCTACCAAGCCCTTATACACAGATCATTCACATGGAAACAGATGTCTGAAAGCAGTGACATGCACATCCTCACGTGGCTTCAGGAACGCGATTCCCAGAGATGACGAATATCCTCAGTCTAAATGGCAATACCCTCAATATATCTGAATATGCAAGAAAGAGCTTTGCTCCTTCCCATTGTTTGTTTACTAACATCACACTTAAAGCAGCTCTAATTCCTCCTACTAATAAACTATACAAGATTGATCCATAGATAAGAAAGAAAACTGCTGCAAGATATAAAAGGTTAAAGGTATCCCTCATCCATTTCAAAATTCCAGCTTCTAAAAAGCTGTACAAGCCTACCTACGTGGACTGAATAGAAAGAGGACAGCAGACACCACCAAACGAGTGGGTCATTGCCTTCTCCTTCCCCTTCCCATATTCCACACCAGCTCAGCTCCTTTCTAAGAACTGGTGTAACTCAATTACTAGCTGTTGTTGCATCAATATAGTTTTCATCCATACCATCCGTTACCTGCATTCAGCATCACATGTAAAACACTCTACATAACCTAAACCTCTCCTAAAAGGGCAAACAGACCTATGAAGCTCAAGCTCACTACGGTTTACTCTAGAAAGCATAAAAGAATGAAAATACAAAGCCCAATCCTAGTACTTGCGCACAAGCCTGAAACTGAGATAAGGCACATAACACAATTTTGCACTGCAGAAAGAATAAAGACATTGAGGGCAATGGTCTGGGATAAGAAAGGTAGCTTTTGCTTTTCATAGTTGTATTAGTCAGTACAAAATCCCCTTGTCAGTACTGTAATAGGCAGAAATATCAAGGTACAACATACAAAGATCACATTGCTGTATACAGCTCTAGCATTCGAATAGAATTTTAAGAATGAGCCAAATGCAGTAGCCCTTTTTCTCAGTCATCCTCAGATATCACTTTTCCCCCCTAACTGGGCTACAATAACCTTTCTTCATTTCTTATCTTTTAAAAAACCAAAAACAACAAAACACCGGAATGGCCACATTTTTTGAGCATTAAAAAGAAATTCAAGAATTAAAAAATATTCTTACTAGTGCAGCATTCATGGAATACAGCTCTGAAGCTATGGGATTCCAGCTGCTTCAGCCCCAAAATATTACACTGAAAGAATCTCCCAGCAGTCATCTCTAAATTCCTTTGTACATTACTAAACAGCTGTCAAGCAGTTATGCTGAAAAAGATGATGCAAAGCTACCATTAGAGACTAATCTAAGGAATTAAAAAAAAAAAAAAGGGGGAGGGGGGCTCGGGCACTGAATTTCTATCAAGTTACAAAGCATTTCTCTCCACAGCACTTTAGAATGGTATCCTGCTATGATAAGCTCTCAACTAAGTGAACCGATTTTCCTGATCCGATTCTGTGCATCATTCGACTCTTAACAAGAACAATATGATTGCTACAGCTGAGAGATTCATTTTTCGGAATACTCATTTGCTATCATACGCACAGGCCATCAAACTTCAGAGAGATCAGACTACATGTACTGTTTAGAGATGTTTTACTATGCCATACATTTTGCATTAAAGCAGCATTTTCCTACCTACCCTAATAATCTACATAACTAAATTATTATTATTAAACAAAATTCAGACTCTGTTCTTCACTAGATGCTATTAGATTCTTCTATACTATTTCCACTTTGAAAATGAAGAATACTACATTGCTTCACTTTCTAGGTTGTACTCATTCAGAAGCAGCCAACAAGAAAACGTCCAACAACAAAAATCTGCTTAAGGTCTACATTTAAGATAAGCAGCCTCTAAAGGAGAACAGAGAATCCAGTACAACTGCCTTTGGCTCAGAACGCACCAGTATTAAGAGATACAGCAAAGAGACCTTTTGCCCCAACACAGTTATACAGCTATCACTGCAAAAATCACACACATCTTACTTCCTACTTGGGGGCAGAGGCTGTTGGAGGCGAGGGGGGGGAATCAACTTCCATCAACAAAATTACTACATATGTCCAGCTAATGTGAAATGAATAAAGGGAAGTTAATGTTCAGGTACAAGCATTGTCAAAAGTCAGTGCCATGGCACAGTATACAGGATGCAAACTTGCATTTAGAACACCTAAACTTCACTGATGCCTTTTACATAGACCTGCCACTTGCCCTTGCTCAAGAACACTGAGAAGTACTACCTGAGTTACGTGGTGTAGGATGATTGATGATGATGGTACTACCTTTTATGTCCTTCTTTTCATTGCTAGGCCCAACATATTCCAAATGATTAGCAGGGCTGTTTCCCAATAAAAGAGAAGCAGGGTCATTTTCATCCCCCAAACCTCCCACCTCAGCAGATGATCATAAAACAAGTCATATTTTGAGGCAATTTAACATGTTTTTATTACTTCAAGAGATCTTGATTTACTGCTAATGCAGACTTGGGATAAAACACTGCTGAGCACAGTTCCACTGGACTGTGACAACACATACCGAAATAATCATAGTCAACAAATCACCTCACCTTCAAGTTTCATTTACAAATGAATCTGCACTACAAAACTCTGTGAATTTAACCAGCAAATTGATGGAATTTCAATGACAGCAAAAAATATGCCATCCCCTGACTTAGTTATTTTCATCAGTAAATGGAGATACACTAAGATTTCTCGTATTAAAAAAATGGGAAAAGCTTCTGTAAAGAAACATTCAAAGAGACAGGTCCATCATTAACTCTAGATTTCTGTAGGATAAAATGTATTATTTATCCTTTGTC